CTCGAGCCCGTCGGGGGTGGTGGCCCCATCACCGTCGTGGTTGGGATACCAAGGGCCCATTGCCCCGCCGGTTAGTACTGCTCGAACCGAGTCGGGGAACGTAGGGTTAGTTATGGTGTTAATATTGACGCTATATTTATGTTGGAGGGTAGTGGAATTGTGTTGTTGAGATGTGGTTGGGTTAACCAATGCCAATCATATATGGATGCCAATTGAAACCTACTTTTTTTTTCCCCTGTTTGTGTAGAATCATGTGGAATTGTGGATTACGAATTTGTCATTATTAATATATAATACAGTAAATTAGTTCTTGGGTGAAGCCGTAGTAATATATTGACCCAACTAATCTATTAATCTATATATATATAAAAAGAATTACCATTTTTTTAAAATAGTAGGTCAAATTTTGGCCAGCATTAATTACCTACTATTTTTAGTAACTTTTTTATTTTTATTTTTTTAAATAGGGCAGCATTAAATGATGCCCTTAAATTATGGAATTTGTTACTTTTGTTTCCCGAAAATAAAGCTACCTTAAAGAAACATTTTTTTTTCTTTTTTTTTTTACGGGTGACTAATTGTTTTAGGTTGTAGTTTGATTTTTTAACAAAAAAAGAAAAAATGAAATCAGATTTTTACCTTCTCTATTTTTTTTTTTCCGATGATTTGAAAAAAAAAACAAAAAACAAAAAACCAATTGACTTAGAAATCAATGCATGTACATATTTTTTGTGGTACGTCTTTTCTTCCATAAACATTCCAATTGCTATTGAAATTAAAATTTTGGTACATCATTTCATACATGAAACACATGCCCATGATATTTTGAATTTATTATACATCAATATTTATATCTATAAATTTGGTAATCTTTTTGAAAAAAATAATAATCGGAAAAACCCGCCAATATAGCTTTAATTTCGAATTTCAAAATATTTTGATTTTATTATATAGTAATATGATAAATAAAAAGGAAACGATTTTAAAAATTTATTGAGAATTTATAAAATTTATTTGTTTTTTACAAAAATAAATGCTTAATTTTTAACAAATCCATATTTGAAATTTAAGTCATGTCTGACGCACGGGTTTCCCCTTAAAAAATGTAATCTCGCATAAATGCTATTTTATATTGAAATTGTATATCTTTTAGTGTTTTAAAATATTTAAAAAGTAATTCATCGAGTTTTAGTTCTTATACTACGTAGCGTAAATAGAATTCCGTGTTGCGTAAG